TGTGTGTGTCATAACACTTTTCGATTTAGAGAATAAATCAAAGCGTTTGAACATACAATATGTATAAGAACGAAATTAATTCTCACCTTTTGTCTAAAAAATATGGATCCCCTGACTTTGTGCTGAGAGGAAAACGCAGTGTTGGGCAGCATGTCACATTTTGCATATACGTACTCTGTAAAAAGCGTAAACATGATAAAGATGATCAAGAACTTTCCAAGCTGAGTAAAAATCACAGGGAGTTTTGTTTTGCTTTTTCTTGGGGGGGGGAGGGGGGTGCCAAATAAAAGTGACTGAGATTTTACTCTGTTGAAATGGTAAATGTTTTTCGTTGCACAATTAAAAACAAAAATGAAGAAAAGATACCTTTGCATAATAAATATGACTTTTTTTTTTGGTAAAGTAAAAATGACCAGAGACATTTTAAAGTAAAGAATATCAAACATACTCTCGCGTAGGGTTAAAATGCAACACAACGCAGCATCTCATTTTATCTTATCCGTCTAGACTCATCAAAACGTATCTAATCTCAGCTTCTAAATCCCTTCGAAACTCAGCACAGCTCCTCTGATTCCCTCACCATCTGCTGGGTACACGTGTCCAGCAAAGCCGTGCTCATGATCTCGGTGTGCGTGACCTGTGGCGTGGGTAGAGTGCCTGCTGTCGGCCATGTTGAGGTGGATGTGGATGTTCGGACCCACCCTCGTCACCCTGTCATCGTCATCCTCCTCATCCTCCTCGCTGGAGCTGTCCTCGCTCTCTTCGCCCTCATCCTTGTCGTCAGATTCTTCCTCGTCATTCATTGTGCGCATTCTTCGTGGTCTCTTGTGATGACGACCTCCGGTAGCTGCTTCTGGAGGTTAGGTGAGGGGAGGGGTGAGGGGGAGCGGAAAAACGGGGAGGAGAAGGGGGTAGGGGAAAGAGAATAGAAAGTGGGGAGAGAGGGGGGGAGGGGAGAAACGGAGAAGAGAGAGGAGGAGAAAGGAAGGAGAAAGAGGGGAGTAGGGGAAGGGATGACCACATGGAATGTAAACACAGGAACTTTGTAGGTGCCATAATTTAATTTACACTGTCGACGTTGAGCAGATGTAGACATTGATAAACCTATTAATGGAACAGAAAGACTCAAAAGGACCTGTCACACTTTAGAACAACATTTTTTATCACTTCGATTCAGAATCAGATCCACTTACTATTTTGAAGCAAACCACGCTTCCCTGCGGGTTAGAGACGAGGCATTTTTCTATTTTGACTATCCCCCAAAAGAATCTTGGCACTGGCATCTATGGTCTAATGGTTAGGGTCATCAGCGTAGTTCAGAGGAGGCCAGAGGAAGATTCTTGGGTGCAGAAGTCAATTTATTTATTGAGTGCCTCCGTCTTACTGTTGGAACGCTGCATCCCATTCATCCCGTATTAATAAATTGGCACTGACTGACAAAATCGAAGGAACCCGCCTCCTCCTGACTACCGTAAATCTTAATTGCGTAAGACGTTTATGATCATTCAAAACCTAAGTACAGAACATAGGTGCTTTTATTTCCCAAGTAAGATAAGAAGAGGGACGAGATTGGCTATGTGTTAATGCACCGAAAGGGGAAAAGGGTGATATACCTCTCTTAAATACTTAAATTGATCAAACTGAAAGGTGTATATTAAAAAAAGGATTAAAATGTCGACCAACGTGGTAGTATGATAAGAACTTTCACTTCTTACACAAAGGTAGGCTAAGGATGTAGAACGATTAGAAAACTTTACTAGATATTTTCAAAGAAGAAGAAGAAGAAGAAGAAGAAGAAGAAGAAGAAGAAGAAGAAGAAGAA